CTCGAGCTCCTTGTTATTTTTGTTTTTTCCTTTGCTGGCTGCCTGCCACCTCTGCTGCCTCTTTGGTGCGGTGCCTACCCTACACTAATGCGCTGGTGCATACTGCACTGCTGTAGCACCTGGTACTGGTGTACGTTGTCCTTCGATTTTTTGTTTTTTTTATTTTTGTGGGAATATACATGTGTTTGTTTTTCGCCCCCCGTCTTGCTGCACCCCCTGGGGTGTGGTGCAGGGCGGGGGATGCCTGGTCGGCGGGAACCCGGCACGGAACCCTCCGGCGTTGTAGGCGGGTGTGGGAAGCGTTCCCCGTTCTCCTTTTATTTTATTTTGATCGGTCTCCTCGACGCTCTTTCTCGTTTGGTGCGGTAGCTGGTCTTTCTTTCTATCATTTTGTTTCTCTTCCGAGTGGTTTTTGTACCCTATTTTTTTCTGTTTCTTCGTGGGGTCGTGTATGCCGGGTTTTGAGACCACGGGCTCCCAATCTTTTTTTTTTTTTTAGAGCTAATGTGAGAAACAACAAACAACAACAACAACCTGCAATCCCTGCAGCACGTTTGCGTGCTCATAACTGAACTACATGCCCACACACAATAGTTCGACTACAGCAGCAGCATCATCCCCCCTGTCCCGCATTTAACCAAAATGAATGTTTGGCGACTGTACAGCGTACTGCTGTCTGAAGCGCTGCCTGTACAATAATAACACCATGCATGGTGCATGCACAAGCTCGGGGCATGCAGCTGCTGTCTGAAGTGCTGTCAGAATGAGTCCGTGGACATACTAGATCGGGAGGTGGAATAGTTTTTTTTGGTTGAAAAAAATACCTGCTGTAAGTAGGCTTGTGCGGGAATATACACATCGGATTGCGTTCGTTCGCAGTCGCCCACAAGTCTACCTATTATTGTCAAAAAAAATCTCCTGGGAAAAAAAGACGCCCCCACACGGGCTCGAACCCATGATTACGAGAGTCAGGGTTGATTTCACCGAGTTCACGAATTGAATTGGCTTTTTTATAACGTCGTTGCCAAGCGACGGAAACCCAATCCCGATGGCAAACACCGGGGGGGGCGGCTTGTTTTACAACGTCGTTGCCAAGCGACGAAAACCCAATCCCGATGGGAAACACCGAGGGAGGGGCTTGTTATACAACTTCGTTGCCCAGCGACGAAAACCCAACCCCGATGGCAAACACCGGGGGGGAGGGAGGTGTACTCCGGGGGGAGGGAGGGGTGTGGTATATTAAAAAATAGGGCTACAGTAGTAGTAGCAGCTAAAAAAAAATATGTCTGCTGTTGTTGTTGTGCTTCGCTTGTTGGTTCGAGCTTCGATCGAGAAATCTCAAAAGCGTTCAAGCGTGTGATGGGTAACCAGGCTAGCACGGGAGGCACTCGTCGCACACTAGGCCTTCGCGCACAAAAGTGTAGAGAGGCGTACAGCAGTACATGTCGCACCAATGGTGGTGCGTAGCAGCGTCGTCTGTGTGTTGTTGGTGTCATGTGCCCCTCTCCGCGGAAAGAGATAGAGAAGTACATGTCGCACCAATGGTGGTGCGTAGCAGCGTCGTCTGTGTGTTGTTGGTGTCATGTGCCCCTCTCCGCGGAAAGAGATAGCGAAGAGACCGCTGCTGCTGCTGGTGCTGCAGCTGCTGCTGCTGCTTCAACCAAATGTTCATCTCTCCTCTCGCTTCCTCCGCCGATAGCTAACAGNGTGCCCCTCTCCGCGGAAAGAGATAGAGAAGTACATGTCGCACCAATGGTGGTGCGTAGCAGCGTCGTCTGTGTGTTGTTGGTGTCATGTGCCCCTCTCCGCGGAAAGAGATAGCGAAGAGACCGCTGCTGCTGCTGGTGCTGCAGCTGCTGCTGCTGCTTCAACCAAATGTTCATCTCTCCTCTCGCTTCCTCCGCCGATAGCTAACAGCAGCAGTGTATGGCACACCCTTCTCCCGCCGTCTCGCCCTCGCTGTGGTCTGTGTCTCCCTCTCCCTGTTTGTCAATGTCTGGCTCTGTGTGTGTGGTGTGTGGTGTGTGGTGTGTGGTGTGTGGTGTGGGAGGCTATCTGTCTTGGTTCAAAATCAAACGACGCCTCCTCTCGGTGTTGTTGCAAGGGGCCAGAAACTTCCCTGCTTCAAGTTGGGTACCGACGCTGCACAATCTCGACGCACCGAGCACGGATTGAAAAGGTAGCAGTTGGGGCAGCTCGGGCAAAATATTACTTGTGGTGCACACGTCTTAGATGATTGCAATTTGGTGCCGAAATGGTGAAATGGGCTGGAATCTGCAGGGTAATATATCGAGGCTGGTCACAGACAACAGACAGACAGACAGACTTTTGACCCGTTTTGCCCCCCCACCTCTGCTTTTTTGAACAACAAAAAGCGTCCCTATCGGACCATTTCTCTTAAAAAAACTATTACAATGAAAAAGAACACCCAACCAAAGCCATCATTGCAATTGACAATCACCCGAATCTATCCAGATCATCTGTGTTAGGTACAGCAGTGTAAACATCGACATTGACGAGGAATCGTTCCACATTGAAGGTCTTCTACACGTGTTGCCAGGGGCTCCGCACGAAAAAAAGTCCGGACAAAAAACAGTTGATGACGGTACCGCGGTCAGTGACGACTAGTCTATAGCCGGAGCCCCTCGGCGTCAGCACGTCCAAGGCAGGCTCACTCAACCCCATCATTCTCCACGCTGCGAAAAGATCCGTAGACGAAACTTTGCAGGAGACTGGACAAAGTCATACCCTACGCCTGTGAGTGGTTTATTGTTTCATTTCATCCCTTGAATGAGACAATGTAGCTGCGGGCACGTGTTGAGTGATGTTGCTTAACGTGGTGGCGCCGCGCCCGCGAGGGCACCTTTGGTCCAAGGTTGTGAACTCGTAGAGTTGCTCAAATCGACCGATACTTGGAGGTTGTGCGTCTTGATGGGTTAGGTATCGAAAACATCCGGATAAAAATTGTGATCGGCACTACAGAACGCGTAATCATACTTGCCGAGGGTTGTGGACAAAATGCGGCGGAACCTCGAAACTAGGGACAGGTACGGTCGTCGACACCCGCAGAGTTGACGTGCTTTACAGCTTTGCAGCTCGCTGATCATGGTTTTCATGGGATGATTATGTTGTGAACAGCTTTCCAAACATCCATGGGACACACCGCCGCGCTCTTGATTGTGTATCTGCCAAAATTTCGACAGGTTTCCTTCACATCATGCAGAGCAGCAGCAGCAGCCACCGCTGCAGCGCTTGCCTTCAATGCGGAGAAGACTTTAGGCACACCAGGGCTAGGACAGGGGAATTAGTAAGGGGTTTTGTGGACGAGGCTGGTATAGCAGACAGATTTCCCGGGTTTCAGTCGGGAGCCATTGGCTCAAACTTGCTCGCACTATGTAAACGTTCGGGTTGTCTGCTGGAGCTGTNTAAGGGGTTTTGTGGACGAGGCTGGTATAGCAGACAGATTTCCCGGGTTTCAGTCGGGAGCCATTGGCTCAAACTTGCTCGCACTATGTAAACGTTCGGGTTGTCTGCTGGAGCTGTACAAGAAGCACGAGTGGGCACGAAGCAGGGAACGCGTAGCGCGGAAAGCAAAGCAGACGCCGCGCCATAGCCGGACCTGGAGCGCCGCTCCTGAGCCTGTCACGCACGACAAACGCCGGCGGTTGGATCGGTACTGTACTTCGCCGGGGGCGGTGGACGCCTTGTAGGATGCTGTTGATATAACGGGTTGTGTTTTGGACATGTGCGGAGGACCTGAAGACGCGGTGGCACTGGGCTTTGGGGGCACGTGTGAAGTTCTCACGAACGACGTGAGCTCGAGGTAAGGAGGTCCACTTGACGAGTAATGTCGTTTTCGATGTTTGGTGTCCACCAGTTCTGTGTATCAGTATGCATCAATATCCCTCTAGTTAAAGGCAATATACTCACACCTTTACTCCCTTGTATGTTGTTTCTGTGGCCACAAAAGGCTATCGCCAGGTTCCAACCTGGACGCGAGCCTGCTTTCTTTTCCGGGTGATTTTTCAAAGCCCACCCCGGAAAACAACCTGACTGGGTCGTCACGAGCCCTCCGTACAAGGGTGCTGTGGGATTTGTCAAGGCGGTTTTGGCGGTAGCGGCGAAAGGCGTGGCGCTCAGATTGCCGCTATCGTTCCGGAAACCTTGTGCCGACCGGGGTAGCTGGCTTGTAGATAACCCCCCGGTGATGTGCGGTTTTTTGCGGAGAGCTAAGTACACACATGCTCACCATGTGAAGGTCGGAGAATTTTGGGGCGTGTGGTACACCGATGGAGGCTGCGGCAAGAGCGGGGGATCGAGGCTTGTGTTCTGCCCTGAGTAGAGGGTGCTTACAGGAGGGCCGCCGGGCGACCTGACGTTCAAAGAATGTTGTTTGTCGGTGGCGTTGATTGAATGCAGAATAGTCTATATCTGCGTGTTCCGCGAAGGGTGCTAATTTTCGCGCTCTTCGAAAATATCAACTCAAAACCGCCCGCGGTTCAGTCACTACACGGACTTTTGTGGGTTGAATGTTGTTGTGGAAGTGCATCGCAGCTTCGCCTACACAGGTACACCCTGCAGGTAGTTGAGTGTACAGCAGTTCTGATTCTGCGGGTGCTGAATGATACGGTGCAAGATAGAGTGCGGGTGTTCCATGTACCCGCTGTTGACGTTGGCGGGTAGGTGCACCCCGTGAGCAAGAGGTGTAGTCCATGACAACACGGTATTCATCCTCGACTTCAAGTGCATCGATGTAGACCATTTGCGACACGTCCGCTATTCCGCTCGATACACCAACATTCCAGTTTTTTTTTTTTCATCACACGTTACACAGATCTTTCATTTGTCCCCTCCCCGCACGAGTCAACAACCATTCCGCCGGGCGATACAATCAACTGCTCTCGGCCACTGGCCCAATCCATCTGGTCGCGCTGCTCGTCGTACTCTGCAACGTCATCCTCCTGAAATCCACCAATGGTCATGCCCCCGCCCAAACCGCCGACACCATGCAAAACGTCACCCTCATCACTGGATTGATCGTCGTCGCTCTCTTCTTCAGATGATTCCTCCCCACCTCTATCGAATAGCATGAGTCTATCATCGACCGCTTCTATGCAGCAAGCGCGTTTACATTTGCACAGCTCTGAGCAAATTGACCCTTTCTGT